TGAGAGTCAGTGAGGAGACCTGGGCTACCTATGGGGTCCTGAGCAGTGGATCAGTGTTTGTCCCTCGAATACTGACAGACATCCTGTGTCCATAACACAAAGAGGGTTGCTCTCTCTGCCTGGACTCTTGGGGAAGTGCCTGGATAATACCCTGAGTGAGATGATAGACTCTAGATATCCCCAATGCAGAAGGAATTGGCAATAGGGTGGGAGGATGGGGGGGAGGGCGGGGGGTACGGGAGGAGGGGAGGGAGAGGGAACTGGGATTGACATGTAGAGCAGGCTGTTTAAAATTAAAATTAAAATAAATAATAATAAAAAAAGAAATCTCCCAGTCTATGGTATTATAATAGCAAAAAGAACCAGAACATCAGCAAACATGGAGTTCTACAATTGTATGTGTATTTTGTTCCCCAAGTAGCCTTCTTAGACTGTTTCCCACTTCCTGCACCTGGTAAGAAATGGTATACATCAGCTCATGCATTTAAAGAGTCAGAAAGGATTGTTTTTAAGCCAGATTTCCAAAAGTACCTGAGCCTCAGAAGCAATGGCATACATTCAAAACTGGTTGCAGATGACCTTATTTTCACTACAGTTCTGCACCACAGTCTCAGAGGGAAAAAATGCTGCTTGTCTCAGCATGTCCAATAGGCCTGCTCAGGTGCTCCCCTGAGACCTGTCACACCCACCAGTGGCTGGGCTGATAAGGCCACTCCAGGCCTAAGACTCGTGTTTTTGGTTACTGAAGGAGTCTGCAGCATTTCCATCAGTAGGTCACTCTGCTGTAGTTGCTTTTTGAGAGCAGGTTTAAAAACTGAGACTATAAAAACTTACCTATCTTGGCTGAAAGTGTTCATCTTTTTTTCACTTGTTACAAAGAGGACTGAGTACTAGAAATCAAAAGGCATTCATAAGAACCTGAATAACTATGCTTCTGGTAAAATTAAAGTAATAAGGTGATTTCCCCCTTAAAACAGCAGAATAATGTTGAGATTTCAAAATCATTTATTTACTGTTTTATAAAGAAAGTTGCTGACACAGGGTTGAGTCTAAGTTCTACCTCATGAGCAAGCTTGTGCACATGCACACACATACACAAAGCTACAAGGTAAGCAGGCTAGAGGCTAGGAAAGTTAGGGAACTGTATGCTGAAGACAGACAAAATGCTTCTCCATCTCACCACTACTGTCATCTTGGGCTAAATCATGGGGGGAAGGGGTTCACACTGTAGCATACAGAATCCCTGAAATCTATCCCCACTAGGTGCCAACAGCATTCTCACCCCATGTGGTATAACAACCAAGTACGTCTCCAAACATAGACAAATGTCCCAGGGGATTTGAGATATGTGACATAGAAAAAGGTAAAAATGCTCTGATTGCAAGTCAGTGTTTTCAGTGTTCTAGGAGCATGAAAACATAATTGTGTAAAAAAAAAAAAAAAAGATGCAGGCTGCACCTAGAGAAATTTCTTAAAGCATATCAAAACTGGACCAGTCAATTTGTCATTCTAGCAAATGGAAACTCAACTTTCGAAACCATAGTCCAACCAGAAGCAAAGCAAAACAAAGCAAAACAAACACATTTACCTGGCAAGCTCCTGAAGCACAAATCAATGTGGTTAGAAGAAGGTAAAAGGAGAAATTCTAGCAGAAAACTTACAGAGAAACATGACTAACCTGGAAGATTTAACATGATAAAAATCACACTCAAATCCACAGTGAATGCTCTTCTAGACCTTAAGGCAAAATCAAGAAGGCCAATTGATTCTAACTCCTCTGCCAGCTCCAGTCAGAGCTGCCAAGAACTGAACAAGACTCTGAGATTTAGTGAGTTACTTGAATATCCATGCTGGCCACAAACAGGCAAGAGGGCAAGGACAGACAAGCTTCACATCCATCTTCAACTTCCCTTATGCTTAAAACAATATTCAGTAAAAAAGGGAATGGAGAAAAACAATCCTTCATGGGCAGCAAGGGGGAGAGGGGGACAAAAGAAGGAGGGAGTTAAGAGTCAGGGGAAAAAAGAAAGAAATCCTACCACTCTCCAACTTTATCAGCTCTGATTCCCAACTTCCAGATACAGTCCAAACCAGCCCTCAAAGCCCTTCACGATTTCTTTACAAGCTTCCCCAAGATGGTCTGCATCATAATGGCTGGCAACGGTGCAACCACCTACCTAACATCTCACCGTTTCCCCAAAGCATAGGCAATTTCACACTAGCCCTCATTACTTCCTGGTCCAGGAAACTTGTGCCTCCTTTTCTATGATGTCCTTTCATCTGCTCCTTGGAGCCCACTATTATTCAAAGTATAGTCCCTAGATAGGAGCAGCAGCATCGCCTGGAAACTCGTGAGAAAAGCAGATTGTGAGGCCCTACTCCAGCAAATTGGAATTTGCTTTATAACAAGATCCTCAAGCGAACTATAAATAAGTTTCATACCAGTTCAAGTGCAAGATAAGCTCTCGGTGAACTTAAGTCCTACTGGATTCTACCCCTCAATGCAAGTGTCTGGCACATAGTTAATGAGATACTTGAGTGGGCTGCTAAGAGACAAAACCCTGCTCATTTTACATTAAAGCAGGAAACCAAAACACCTGCTTCTAGCCTTTGTGGCAGCCACCTGACACAGGTATAGTCAGTGAGGTGTCAGCAGAAGCCTGCTGGGGGTTCCCAAGAGAATATTTATTTCTCTCATGACTTCCTATCTTCCTACTAGAACACAAGGTGCTGCAGGTGTCACTGTCACACAACCATGAAGTAACAAACACAAGACCAAAATCCCAGTAACAGCTAAGGACAACAGGGTGGAAACAATGCTCTGGGTTAGCAATATAAATACAATGAAACTTATGGAACACCACAGAATCACTAGACTACTGTGCCAGCCTGCCCAACATTTCTACTTTACAGCACTCTCATTAGGGAATGTTTCTTCTGATGCTGAATGCATCCCTATCTGAGTAAACCATCAGTAAAAGGAAGGTGAATTAATGAATACACAGTGAACTCTACTGAAGGTGCAGAAGACTACAATGTTTCAAAAAACGAGGACTCCAAGAACATGTTCAACTTTGCCAAATATGCCTCTATAAAGTCTCTATTCTTCTAGAAGTATTGACCCATTTCTGTTGATAGCTTAATGGATGTAAAAGTGCGCACAACCTCATAAAAAGCAATGGAAACAACCTCGAAGAATATATGCTCAACTTTGCCAAAGTATGACTATCCTGCACATGTAGAAATGCTAACCCACTTCTGCTCACTCAGAGCTTAATGGAAAAGCAACTTCAATTTTTATATGCTAAGATGATCACATACCAAAAAACTGCAAACTTCACACTAGGATCCTGCCTTGAAAATTGCCCCACTGTTGTGGGTACTGATGGGTAACTGTAAGTAAAGGAGAGGGGACCTATAAAAATACCATTCTCCTGGTTTCTTACTTTGAAACCTCCAACATGAATCTTTGTTTTCCAGTCCTTATTTCAGACAAGTATTTTCACTCAAAATTTCAAGATCAAGCAGCAAACACTTTTTCTTTTTAAACAATATAAACAAAAATGATTAAATAGGGAGTGGTATGCAATAGCAGCGTTGCTCCTAGGCAAGGAGGCAGGACCTACAAAAGGAGACTCCTCAGTTACATCAACATTCAGTCCTGCAATCCAATCAGTACTTAGAGAAATGTATTTTAGAGAGAAACTTGATAGCACCAATGGAAAACCAGTACCACTTGCCATAAATAGAAGACAAATAAAAAAAATCCAATAAAAACCAAGCCTTATTAAATTTAGCTACTGTTGGACTGACAAGATGGCTCAGCAGGTAACCCTGACACCCTGAGTTCAAGTCCCAGAGCACACAGAAAGGTGGGCAAATTGTCTCTCACCTCTACACAAATAACACACAGACACACTAAGTAAATGTTTTTTGAATAGACTTAAAAGTTGTCCACCAAAGTCTTTAAGCCCAAAATTTGTTTTCTTACTTAAAAAGAAGGGGGGGCGGTGATTCCAACACAGGGGAGGCTGTCAGGCAGACCTCAAGCTGAAAAGTCAGCTTCGAGCTACATAATGGGACCCTGTCTCAAAGAATAAAGAAGGCTGGTAGAATATGAGGGTGAGCCAGATACGGAAAAAAAAAGGACTAAATATCAAACTGAGGTGTTCTCCCATGCATGAGGAAATGAGAAAGGGAATGGAAAGAAACTGATTTCTTTCATTGTTCGACTTACCCAGGCATGTTCCACCTCAAAGTATCCATTATGCAGCCTCCAATCATCAACCTGTCCAACTTGCAGTAAGAACCCAACTCTCCTTCAGCCCAAAAGACCCTCGCCATCTGAACCTTGCAAACGCTTCTGCTCTCCAACCCCATCCTTTCACTACGTGGACAGCTCCACCAGCAGCTGCAAACCAAGGCCAGGACCACCTCCCCCATCCGCTAAGTCAGCAGGTTATGCCTCCTCCAGAGTGTTATCTGATAACGCCTGGTTAATTTTACTTACGAATCAAAACAAATAGAGCACTATGTGTGTAGGGTACTAGACACAGCCGAAGTACTTTACTTATCAGGATGAACCCCCTTGCAAGTGCCCCAACTGAGTAATTTCATAGTGTCCAATGTAACCGTCAACTTGCTGTTGAGTTGCTACCAGGTAAACGGGAGCACCAAGAGGTTCGGTAATTTGCTAGAAAAGCAGCAGCCGGATTCGAACCAGGCTGAATGCTCTCCCACCGATACCCGCTCCAAAGACTGCAGTTTCCATGAAGGCTGGGTCTTGCTCCTGGCAAGGCAACATCCATCCCCGAGGCGGATCACAGGCGCCCAAAGAAGACAAGCAGAAAGCATGAGCGGTGGGGAGGAATGAGTTAGTTCCTTTGTCATCTGGGTTATCTTTTCCAGCACTCCCTGAGCATCCAGCGCAGAAATCCTCCCGGCCCGAAGAGGAGGAGGAGCCCAAGAACCGGCCGAACTCCAAGGCCCCCGGGGCTCACCTTGAAGTCTCGGCTGTGCTGCGGGGTGTACTCCAGCGTCCAGAGCGCCCGCACCAGGTGCGCCAGCTGCTCGGTGACCTCACCCTGGCCGTGCGGGCCGCGACCCGCCGGCTGCTCTGGCTCAGGCGAGGGCTCCGGCCGGCCCACCCGGTACTGGCCCAGGGCCAGGTACTCGGCGAAGAGCTCGGTGTTGCTGAGGCACTGCAGCGTGGCGTTCATGAAGCACGTGTTGCCGTGGTTGCGGAGCCCCGCCACGCCGGGCACCGGCTCCGAAGCGCAGGCGGGAGGCGCGGGCGAGGCGGGCGGCGGCGGGCACGGCGGCGGCGTCGGCGCGGAGGCCGGCCCGGGCGGGAAGCAGCTGCGGAGGCCGCCGCGGTCCGGGGCGGCGCCCTCGGAGCTGAGGTGCGAAAGCGTGGACAGCGTCTTGAGGACGCGGCTCATGAAGCTGCCCACCGAGCGCGCCGACGACGGCGACGAGGGCGCGGCAGGCCCGGGGCCCCCAGCGCCGCCGCCGCCCCCGGCGCGGCCGCTCCGGAACAGCCGCTTGCTGAACGAGCGCTTCTCCTTCCCGCCCGCCGCCACCGGCGGCCCGGGCCCGGGCGCCGTTACCTTGGACATGGCGGTAGCTGCCTACGCTCATCACCGCGCCTGTCCGCCCGGACCGCGACTCCGCCACGGCCGCCGCCGCATCCCGCCGCCCGCGCCTCACCCGGGCCGGGGGGGGGGGGGGGCTTTGCGCCCCACACCACCTCAGAGCGCCGCGGAGAGAGCGAGCGAGAGAGCGGCGGCCGGGGGGCGCGCGTGCGCGCGCGGCCGCCCAAAGGGTGGCTCACGTGACCCGCACGGGTCGCAGCCCCGCCCCACGCTGAAGCTGCGCAGCCACCATGTTGACTGTGGGAAGAGTACTGTCCCTAAAGCATAACCCTAGGACTCCAGGTTCCGGGCGTGGTTCTGCGTCGCGAAGCCCAAGACTGGCCATGTTTAGTGTGGGCAAGTCCTATACTCAGGGCAGGCGATGGCTGGAGGTGGGTCTCCGTCTCTGCTGGTCAAATGGAAGAGATGTAGAGAAAGGACAGAGGTCAAACTGCCCCTTACCAGGTAGTGATGGAGCTCATGGACGTAGTTTTGTCTTCTCCTAGGAAAGTTGACCCAGCCGGCTCCCGACGGACTGCCGCCTATCACCCGAACGCGGTCACGGAGCTTGGCACATTCTGGTGGGCTTTTTCTTCCAGGATGTTCCTTGGGATCACAACAAACCAGTATTATTAGACTTGCCTTACTCGAAAGTTTTGTTAGAAGGGAAAAAAAAGCCTTTAATCCACTGAGCTCTCCCATTATTCACTCATTCATTCAATAGCTACTGAACACTTACTGTGTGCCAAATACTGTACTAAATAAAGTATAAGAACACTACAAGATTGAAACTAACTGGGTTTCTGCTTGCCTTCCTTCAATTTACACTCTGGATGGACACCCATTCATAATAATTTCTGTATTCTACACGATATACCACGCATGGAATACCTTCTTTAATCATCAGTTCAATTCCTTTGACATCTCATTTCAACCCAAGTTTGATCCAAAGCCTTAACCTTGACCTTTAAACCAAGGGTTACAGACCCACTACTATCACAGAGACCTGATATGTCATGGCCATGAACAAAGATCCTGGTGACTAGGTCATGCTTCATGTGACTTAGGAATACAAGAACTGTTGTGGACAGTGGCAATCTGCTAATTAGCATTCTTCTAAAGGGGTGGCTGCCACCTGCCTCCAGTCAGTTGTTTGGATGTGAGAGGGCTTAGTGTTGCCAAATCATCTGATTTTTAGAGAAAAGGTGGGAATTCTATTTTTACATGTTGCTTCAGTTTGGAAAAAAAAAAAAAAAGAGTGCCGTGGAGAACAGCGTGCATTAAGGCTGCCTTCTACTCAAAACACACTGGTTTCTAACCTTCTCTTTGTATGTTCTCTTTGCTGAGAGATTAGCCTGTATCATGGTTACTGCCACATGGAGATACTGAGAAAGAAAGCCCATAACAATTTAAAAATAGAAAGGCCACCCTACACCCTCCAGCTTTCTACCCAGTAGTAAGTATGGTATCCTATGGTGACATTCTTGGTTTGCTCTGAATAGGCTGGAGCCAACCCTACTTCTACCTCCTAATCAAAACATCTACCCTAACTGTCCCTCAAGCTCCTTGCCACATCAGAAAGAAAGCCATCAATGACAACAGAAGCTGAAGCCCGTGGCCCTCCGCCTTTGCACACACACTTGCTGCTCCTAGTGATTTGATCCTGATTGAGAACCTTTGCCAAGCTGACCCCCCTGCTTCAGGCATCTTTCCGTGAGCTTCCTCACTGAGTTCACCACTCCTCATCCCTAAAACTTTGCCTTAGGTACAAACTCCTCCTGGAGGTATCATTTCTTCACACTCTCTTAGTACTTCCCAGCCATAACATTAACTTGATCCTATCAGAATTCAGCATACAGTGAGCCACCATCTTAGTTACTGTTCTGTTGCTGTGAAGAGACATCATGACTAAGGCAGCTTATAAAAGGAAGTATTTAATTGGAGGCTTGCTTACAGTTTCAGAGAGTCAGTCCATGATCATCATTGTAGGAAGCATGATAGCAGGCAGGCGGGCTGAGAGCTTACATCATATCCAAAACTTGGAGGAAGAAAGAGAGCAAGAACAAGAGTTTGTGTGTGAGAGTGCACGATAGACAGACAGACAGACTGGGCTTAGTGTGGACTTTTGAAAACTCAAGGCTTGCCCTCAGGGACACACCTCCTCCAACAAGGAAATACCTCCTAATTCTTACCAAAAGCCAAAATATTTCCACTAATTAGGTCCCAAGCATTCAAATACATGAGATTATAAAGGGATAATCTTAATTCAAGCCACCAGTCACTCTCAGTATACTGTAAACTTAACCCACAAGACTTCACCCATCTTACTCATTTGGAGTCTCCACGAAGATCACTTACTCTACAGAGTATAACCAAATTACATCTGAACTCCTGGAGGGTTACCTGAGAACTGCCTTTCCAAGCTCCTCCTATTAGTCTAGGCATATTGGTCCCCAGGGACCCCCAAACCATCCAATCCTGGATTATCCAGAGCCCCTTGTTGGAGCACTAATCTGTCATTTGTTGTTGGCCTTCTTCTTAGATTTTATTTATTTATTTATTTAGGTTTTTCGAGACTGGGTTTCTCTGGCTTTGGAGACTGTCCTGGAACTAGCTCTTGTAGACCAGGCTGGTCTCCAACTCACAGAAATCTACCTGCTTCTGCAACCCGAGTGCTGGGATTAAAGGCGGGCACCGCCACCACCCGGCTAGATTTTATTTCTTTTTATTCGTATTTTGCCTGAATGTATGCCTGTGCATCGCATATGTACATTGTACTTGAAGGCCAGAAGAAACCATCAGATTCCCTGAGACTGGAGTCACAAGCATTAGCTGCCCTGTGGGTACTGGGAATTGAACCCAGGTACTTGGGAAAAGCAGCCAGCACTCTTAACTACTGAGTCATCTCTCAGCCCAATATGTTTGTTCTTTGAAACTCGTTGGAACTACTGTCCCTCCCTTACACTTAAGCTAGGGAAACACAAATGAGAAAAAAAGAGAACAGTGGGGGGTATCCTTGCCTAGGCTTTATTTATTCTTGCAACTACCCTTATGCTGAAACTCCATCAAGGATTGTGTATTTCATATACTGCCAAGCCTACCTTTGGGCAGGTTTATCTAAGAACACAGTTCCCATCCAGGAGATGGTGCTGAGTTTTATCACCTTTATCACATTGGCAACTTTCATTTAAAAAAAAAAAAAGAACCCAGAAAGGTTGAGTTTGAATAAGTTAACACTATTTAATAGTGGAGAGATTTGGGAGGAACCTCTGTTTCTTTGAGGATTAGCTTTTCATCTCTAGAAAGAATTGATGCCTATCTTCACATTTGTATTGATATTTGTATTGATATTAAAGTGTTACATACTCTACTAAGTAGCCATGGGGAAGGCAGCAATACATTTTAAAAGACATGTTAAATGTTAATGTACTTTTATTTGTAGGAATGAGGTTGAATACAAGCTGGGCTTTTAGCTCTTCAACATTCAAACCAACTTCCAGTTTAGAAGGGATACAAAATTAGAGGAGAGAACTAAGCTTCCATTGTGAAAACAGCAGGGTTTGGGGAGAATGCCTTCTTCCCACCCTATTAGCTAGAACCCAGGAAGGTGACCTAAAGAAGACCAACCAGATATGCCTCTCTGGACTTAGACTCTGGAAGAGCAGAAACAAGGTTAGTTGGAGATGACATTTCAGATTGCTAAACCCCATAGGTGTGTGTTCAGCAGTGTGACATCAGTGAGGAATAGTGCCAGACATGGCTGTAGCCAGTGTCCTGCTGGCTACATTAGTGACAAGTTCTTACTGGTGTCTGCCTCCCTGAGTTTCTGCCCAAGCCTGTTTCTCCAGCTCCGTTTTTCACTGTGAGCTAACCTGATAGGCTTCCTATAAATTCCTTTATTGCTGAAACCAACTGGTGGCAGTTTCTTTTGTCTGTAATCAAGAAAATGACCAGCAGTACCTTTTAATTAGCGGTTCTTAAATTTATACTGGTGAATTACCTACATGCATTGCATTTGCATTTTCTTTCCTTTTATAAGTGTTGGCTGGCAACAGTAATTTGCATATGAACTGTTGCTATTGTTTGAGACAGTGTCTCATACTGTTGCCCGGGGTAACCCGGACTTCATGGTGATCCTCTTGTCTCAAAAACAGTGGAATTACAGACATGTGTTACCACCTGCTTTGAATTGTTTTATTCCTTGTCTATGCTGTATCATTTAGTTACCTTACAACCATGTTTACAGTGTTTCCATATCACATATAATAATTTAATATTTTGTGTATTCAAATGGGTCCATCTCTTCTATAAATATGATTGTTTATCATGCTTAGACAAACAGTTTTCTCCTGTTCCAAGATCACAAGAATAGTAATAGTGTTTCATTTAGTTTTCTTATGAGGGGTTCTCCTTCACTTTAATGTTAGAATTTCTGAAATTTGTGCATGTGTGAGTGTGTGCATCTCTCTCTCTCTCTCTTTCTGTGTATGTGTGTGTATGTGTGTGTGTGCATGTGTGTGTGTGTGTTTTTGTGTGTATGTGTGTAAAATGAGATAGGGATATTCTATGATTTAAATTACTTTTGACTTTCCAAAACTCATGTTGAAGTTGGGTTTCAGTATGGCTTTGTTGGGAAGCAGGACCCAATGGGAAGAGTTTGGATCGTAGGCATGGAGCCCACACAGGGACTGAAGACTTTCTCAGGTGAGTTCCTGCTTGCTGTTATGACACTGAATTCGTTACCATGACAGCAGGCTGTTATGAAGCAAGTTTGGACTCCCCAGCTACCTTGGGCTTCTTTTCCACAACCCACTTGACCTTCTGCTTTCTGTATCAAGTTGAAGCAACATAAGAGACCTGCCAGAGACTGACCAGCCCTGAGGCTATGGCTCAGTCCATGAAGACCTGGGCTCCATCCCCAGAGTCCCTACAGCAGGGATGTGAAGCAGCACACACCTATGATTCCCAAACTGGGGAGCTGGAGGCAATAGGATCAAAAGTTCAAGATCATCCTCCATCACATAGTAAGTTCAAGGGCAAACTGAGATACATCCAGTTTCAAAACAAACAAAAGAAATCTCTTTTCTTTGTAATTTACCCTGTCTCAGTGTTCTAACAACAGAAACATTCTAAGACAAAATCTTACTTTTCCTCT